ATTGTACTTTGTTGTTGTTGTTGTTGTTGTTTTAAATTGAATAGTTACATGCTTATAACAGAAACCAATAAAACTACATTTCCCTGGCCCAGCTGTCCCGACCACCACTCCCACTTTCCAAGGTGCCCTTGGGCTTTCTGTTAACACCAGAAACTTCCTTTTTATGAAGAGTTCCTAACTTTCCTCTGCAGAGGAAGAGGGTTAGGTGTCATGTCCCTTCCACCTCTCGGCATACATGCTTCCCTGCTCTGCCTGCCATGGACTTAGTCACAGTTTTGATAAGCTCCTTATTCAACCATGCTGTAGGACTTTGTTATCCAGTGTTATGGACTCATTCAGGTTTTTGGCAGATTCCTCTCTGGGGCTTCCAGCCCTTCCAGGAAGACTTGGCCATCCTAACATTTGTGGGTAGGACTAGCCAAGTCTCCCATAGCATAGCCCAGCAGCTAAGAAAGCCTGCCCATGTCTCACTGCATCCAGCCACTTTTTCTTTTCACTCTTATGAGCACACAGGAATGGATGGCAATTTCCAGGAAATTCATAAAGAAAGAACAAACACAAGTGACAGATCCTGCACTACCATTCCCAGGCAGTCTTAAGCAGGAAAACAAAACTGTGTGTGTGTGTGTGTGTGTGTGTGTGTGTGTGCCTGTGTCTTGGGGGTGGGAGTGGGGGATTGTGCGAGGGTGGGGTGTCTATGGAAGTAAAGAACAGATTCAATCCAGAAAATAGAATAAAAGAAAACAAACTGGCATTAAGATTACCAAAACTCAAAAGTATGAGCAAACCGAATGTATCAGTTAGGTTCATTGGAGGAACAGATACAATATAAATATACAAAGAATTTACAAAGTAGGCTTCTAGTGGCTCCCTGTGGAGTCAGGGCAGGAAGAATGCAAAGTGACTATCTGAGCTAGAGAGCCAGAGGAGCCAGATGACAGTTAAAGGCCTGGAGCTCACTGCAGAGTCGCTTGAGTCTGTAGTGGAAAGCTGAAGGGTCTGCATTTGGAGGCTGGAGAGTCTGTGCTGGAAGACTGCAGAAGCTAGAGACAAACACCAATGTCAGTAACACAGGCTGGAGTCTTCCAGAGAAGCAGAAGAGGGCAGATTCCCTTCTTTTCCTCTTTAGTTCATCCAGGCCACAAGCCTATACTGGCTGGTGCCTGCCATATCCCAGTGTGTTTTTCCCTCCTTAAATTTAGAGGCTTAGAGTCAGCCATCCAGACACATCCAGAACTGTGCTCCACTAATTGCAGGAGTTTCTCATTGAAGCTGACCACACAAAGTGATACCAAGTATTAGCTAGGATACAGGGGAGGGGAGTGAAAAGACAAACAAGTGCAGCCTCTTTCCACAATAATTTGGCAATAGGAGGTAGAGATGAAGAAGCATAAACCCATGACCCAGCCCATTTCAATTTAGAAATGCAGAGATTTGCCACAAGGAAGTTGTGGAAAGATGTTTTTATTGGGCTGTTTGTGAATACTGAAAAGGAAATAATTGTCAATAGGAAGTAGATAATCAGATACATTCAGAGTAGAATATTATATAGCTATTAGCCCCTTAGCATTTTTACCCCAGTGTTGCTTTGGGAGTACATTTGTTTATGTACTATCCCAAGCATTGCCCAGCAGGTATCATTTCAATCAGTTGAATCTTGCATTAAATAAATAGGATAGAATTGTGATTTTTGTATTTCCTGTTATCTTATAAAACTAATAAAAAATATGCAGTATTCTGTCATCCTGTATTTAAATAATTGGGCTAAATGGTAAATGGCTAAAATGAGGAAGATGTTTAATTACATAATATGGATTCAAAATATTGGAGAATACAAAAATCAAAAGTGTTAAAAGTAAATTGTTGCATATGTATAAAGTTGTATATATAAATTTTAAAACATATACAACAGCTATATAATTTGAGGGTAACAGTAATAAGAGCTAACATACTGTTAGCAACAGGCTGATATCTGCATTCTGATTCTGGGAGTACTGAGACAGGGGAAGGCTAAGTAACATGCCTGTATCACACAGGTAGCATGCAAGTAATTCAAGAACAGAAAGGAACAGAATGACATGAGAATATGGGGCTCTGGTTCGGCTCCGCCTCCCACTTGAGTTACATCCCCAGCCCCTTTTTTCATTTATTGTTTGAGACAGTCTCACTAAGTAGTCCAGGCTGGGTGTAAAATTTTGATCCTCCTGCCTCAGCCTCCCAAAGTGCTGAGATTACATGTGTACACTGCCACACCCACCTAACTTTAATTTTTAGAGTAGTTTTCAGTTCAGCGAAAAACTGATCAGTAGGTAGGGAGGCTTCCCATATACCCCTTAATCATGCATTGCCCCCCATAGCACTGTTCCCCATCCGTGCTACATTTGCTCCACCTGATGAACCCGTTCACCTGTCCTCATCACCCAATGTCTACAGTTTACATTAGGACTTAGATTCTGCACTCATGTTGGGTTTCAATACATATTTAATGACTTGCATCCACCATTATAGTGTAAAAAAGAGTTCACAGCCCTAAAAATTCTTGTGCCCCACCCGGTCACCCTTTCTCTAGCCTAACTCCTAGCAAATGCTGATCTTTTTTTACTATCTCCATAGACTTATCTTTTCCAGAAGGTCATAGATGGAAGGATACATTTTATAGATATTACAAATTAGCTTCTTCCAGTTTAGTAATACACAGTTTAGGTTCCTCCCTTTCTTTTTATGACCTGATAGTTCATTTCTTTTTATCACCCAACTAGTGGTATTCCATTATCTAGATGTATAATGCTGTTTTAATACATCATAGCTTTTAATGATTAAAATGATAATCTTGAAAGAAGGAAGGGAAACACACACACACACACACACACACACACACACAAGATAGCTAAAATAATTGTACTACTAATTTCTTTTTCTTTTCTTTCTTTTTTTTTTCTGTGGTGGAACCAGGGATTGAATTCAGGCCCTTGCACTTGTCAGGGAAATGCTTATTCCACTGAGCCATCTCCCTCTATTTGTTTTTTGAAAGGACCAGTTAATGCTTAAAATTTTCTTTTTGATCAATTTTATGTGTTTCTATCTAGTAATCTGGACAACTACTTTGAAGACAACACTGCAATATAATAACCATTGTTGAATTCCTATCTTGTTTTGTGAAATTCTGTATTGTTTCTGATTTTTTTATTGTTTCTATTATCTTTACAATAAATAATAAAAATAAATAAAATGATAGTCTTAGAAACATCCCGTTGCTGAGTAGAATATCTAGGACTATAGCGCTGACAGTATCATAGACTGGGCTTCATACAGCAAGGTACCCTTTCATTTACTGTATTGTGTGTATTTTACTAATGTCTTCATGCCTATAATATGGGCCTGCAATCAGAGGGGCCTCTGGGACAATGATCTACTCCTGTGACCTCTGGGACAGTGATCCACTCCAGACTCCTCAGCACAGGCTTTTAGAAAGATGTGGGAATCTTACCTAAACATATTCCTCATAAAGATTTTGGGTGAGTGGGCTGGGGAGAGAGCTCAGCAGTCTGAACACCTGCCCAGCAAGCATGAGGTCCCAGATTTGATTCCTTACTGCATGCCAAACTGGCCTCGCACCTTACTGGCCACCAAAACGGGGCATGTTGACACACGCCTGTAATCCCAGTGCTGGGGAGGCTGAGAGAGGAGGATCTGTGTAATGAAACCCTGTACCAAGTAATAAATAAATTAAAAGACTTAAAAAAATATTTTGGGTGGGAATCTCAGTGTTACTTCCTTCATCACTGCTTTCTCTTTGCCTCATTCTAATTACATATGCTTTTTAGTGTGACTTTTATTGTAGAAAGTCAGAGTAAACCACTTGTTACCTGGCATATTATTAGAGGAAGGGGAGCTTCTAAAATAAATATTGTTGTTAACAGTTGCCATGTATTGCATATATGCAGTGGTTTTGAAGAGTTGTCAAAGTTGAATTGAGGAGTTTGGAGTTGGAAAGATATAACTTAGTGTATCTTCTATATTTGAAAAATGAGGCACTTGAGGCCCAGAGACTGAATGTGTGCAAATTAACAAAGTCAATTACTGTTACTGACAGAATTGGAAATAGGAACTAGGACTGCTCCTGCATTTGTTTCCTGCATCAGAGTATAATAAGATATACCTAAACTAAAACAAAACTATAGATCATTATTTTATTTTTGTGGGTTGTTATGTAAGACTGCTGAAATGGCTTCATAGGTGTAGTACTCCACTGCAATGCTTTGGAACGTTGGATCTGCGATGTGTAGTCAGAACAGCAGCTCTAAAGCTTTTCCATATCTTCTGTTGAATGTAAGGTAAGTTCTTGAAAAATGATTGTATGTGATGTCACAGAAATTTTAACATATTTGCATTATTTGTGTAAATATAGATACCATAGAGAGACTAGGTTTTCTTTCAACGAGAGGGAATCCCCAAACATGATGCATCTAGAGTTGGATCAAAGATTTAAATTTCATTGTTAAGCTCTTAGGCCTTCTTTGCTTTTGGGAGGAGACTTGGAAATAGGAGATTGATCATTTGCATTGAAAGCTTGAGGATAGTTCTGTTGTGTTTTTATAACATCCCTGCTCTCAAATGGTTGAGTGATGGAGAGCTCTAATTCGTTAAGTGCTGAGGATAGTTTTATGAATTTTCCCTCCAGTGAACGCTTAACTCAGGTACTCCTCAGGTACCCATTTTTACTGTCTTCCAGAAAATTGAATAGATGTTTTCTGCTGAACTTTTATTATGGTAACATTCACTAATGTTCATTCGTGTTAGGATATACATTTTACAGATATCATTATTACAAGCAGAGACAACATTCTTCAGGAAAATAGAAAAGCCTTGCTTGAAATAATAAATAGAAGCAAGTTTAGTAATCTTGATTGTTTGATTTAAATCTTCCAGAGAACATCGACAGTGACAAAGAAATCTTTAACAAACTACCTGTAAAAATATGGTTATGATTTATCTTGTAGTTTGTGAACTTAAGTCTCCTTCTATGAGCGATTTCCTGTGGGGGCTGGAAAACTCCGGCTGGTTGCGGCACATTAAGGCCATCATGGATGCAGGACTCTTCATTGCCAAGGTATGAGATTACAGGACATGGAGTAGAGCATCAAGCCACTCTGGCTTCAAAAGAGGTGACCTGCTTACCCCTGCCTGGCAGTATGGTATAATTAGCTGACTTTGCAGACACCCCCGTGGATTTTGTCCTTCAAAGATGAAATTTTGCAAAAGAGTACACTGCTCAGTTGATAGTTTTTTGCACATTGGTAAAATGATAAAATATTTCTGGACTATTCTTTTCCATCAAGCTTATTCTGGCATGGAAGTATAACCAAATGTGAGTCACTTCAGTAACAGGCTTACAGATTACCTCCAATAGGTCATTCTTTTTAAGCTGTACATAAACCAAACTTATATATTACTAGCTAGTAGATTCCACTTTACTTTATGAAAGATCTTGCAATGTACTGTTTCTTTCTTTCTTTCTTTTTTTTTTTTTTTTTTGAACCAGGGATTGAACTCAGGATCTTGCACTTGCCAGACAAGTGCTTGCCAGACTGAGCTGTCTCCCCTGCCCTATTTGCTGCAAATTTCACAGTGGTCTTTGTAAATGTATTCTGTTATGTTGTTCAGTGTTTCTTTAAAATACATTTCTTCTTTTTTTTTTTTTTTTCAGTACTGGGGATTGAACTCGGGACCCTGCGCTTGCCAGGCAAAAGCTTATTCTACTGAGCTATCTCCCCAACACTTTTTTTTTTGTAGTAAAATACATTTTGTTTAGCTTTGTAACTAAAGAGAACTATGTCTTTTCGTATGACACTATAAGCTATCCTTTATTAGATAACCATTTATTGAACAAATATTTATTTAATGTACTATGTTTATTTCATGTACTGTTGTAGGTGTGATGGACGTAATATAAAATAGCTAATTCAAGTCTCTTTCCTCGCAGAACTGACATTCTGGTGTGCTAGACCAATAAATAAATAAATAAAAAATGAAATTTCTGGTAGTGATAAATGCTGTCATATAGTCTCTACCACATTTTCTAATTTTTATTTCCTGCCAAGACATACAGCTAAAAGTTGTGTGCACATTTGCAATAACAAATAGACACTTTTTAGCTAGACCCACTCCCATCTATTACTTGCCCCATATTATCTGTTACTTTTTTACTTTAATAATTTAGAATTTTTGCATCTTGTACTTCTTAGAAATGGTTATAGCTAGTAGCAACCCTAAAATTTCAGTAAAACTTGAAGTGGAAACCAGAGGGGAAGAAAGGGTTTTGAAAGTGGGGGTGAGAGGATAGGTCAGGAAGGTCTGTCTGCACAGGAGGCATATTGTACTTAGCAGATACGCTAAATTTAGAAATATTAAGTCTAGTAAATATGCTATATCTTGAGGCCAGTGGCATCTGGGTATACTTAGAAGGGAAGGAAAATGTTAGCTACTAGTACTATACCACTCCTTGGCTTAGCCTCAACGAGGCCAGGCATAATCGCTGAAGAAGGATCATGCTTGCTTTGCCTTTTTCTTTGTGTAAGTCTGCAGGCAGTCCAGCTCTGATTTCTGGTTGGTGTTTTTCAGGCAGTTTCAGAGGAAGGGGCAAGCGTGCTTGTTCACTGCTCTGATGGCTGGGACAGGACTGCTCAAGTGTGTTCAGTGGCGAGCCTGCTGCTGGATCCACACTACCGGACTCTAAAGGGCTTCATGGTGAGTGCAGCTGCCTAGCGTTTCCCAGAGAGGTCTTGCCTGGACCAGTTTCTCTTTTAGAAACTTTTGGCAACTTACTTTTCTCCCCTGCATTATTTTTGTCTTGGTAGATCAGCAAGGTTATTAAAAGATAAAGAAGGCTTGGAATCAAGAGGTAAATTTTTGAGATAATTGAAACCAATTTGAATCATTACTTCTGAATATTAATTTGGGAAAAATGGTGTGAAAAATAGTTTTGTACATAACTTGCCTCTGTTTTGTTGTTATTGTTTGTTTGTTTTATGTATCTGTTTTATGTACAGGGTCTCACTACATAGGTCGGACTCCTAGTGATCCTCCTGAGATTACAGGCCTGTGCCACCATGCCCAGTCCAGTCTCTGTGGTGGCTCAGCGTGCCTGGGGGCAGGGCTGGGCAGTGTGTGATTCTAGGGATTGAACTCCAGTCCCTGCACTTGCCTAAGTGGGCACTTAGTCCACTGAGTTATCTCGCTGGCCCTGTCTGTTTTCAAATTTGGGGTAATGTGTGAATTATAACAATAATACCCCACACATTTCAGAAAATAGTATTTGGAGAAAATTTTCTATATTGTGTATGAAAATAGTCCTTAGGAAGAAAATTTCCTTTCATCTCTTAGTTTCTGTTTTTTAGGTTGTCCTTTAAACTCTGGATGAGTATAACTGAAGGCTTCGTGGTGTTTTTGTGTTCTCCCAGAGCTTAACCACCTTAGTGTGCATCACAACCTAATTTGTTGTTTCCATCTAACAGTTGCCTGGGGTGAAACTTTGGCTAAACTGGTGCAATTTCCTTGAAATCAGTGCAGGGGCTTTCTCGTGACTATGCATTTACCTAGTACTTATGTCTTAGAGTGTGCTTTAGCTGAAAGTACTTCAGTGAATCCTGAACTCATACTAGGAACAGATGTTGACAAAGAAGCCCTATTGGACACTGTTACTGCTATATCTCCTATAGCAAGTAGTATACGAAAGAGACAGGCTTCCTTTCTGGAATGCTCCTTTTTTTGAGAAGTGTCTAAGAACTTCTAATTACCTTGGGCAGCATTGAGACTCAAGAGGCACACCTGCTTTGGACCTCCCTCCTGTGATAAGGTTAGGAGGGCTGAATTGCTTTGCTTAAATTTGGAGAGTAGAAGCGTACCCAGACCTGTGGTAGGACCTCCATCTCTCATGAGACTTTCTGCTGTTCATTATCCTTTTCTGCCATTGACTCAGCTTAATTGTGCCACAGTAAAGGATTAAACTTGAAGTGCAAAGTAAATGTGTTTAGAATAAAATGCATTTAGAGTTGTCAAGTACACACTTAAAACAGCCCATATACCTTTATAGGGGAAACTAACAGCCAGATTAAAGCACTGGTGATAATAATAGGACCTTTTTATATTACATACTTATAAAAAGATCTATTTCACACTTAAACTCATGGTAATCCTAACTTCTGAGCAAGGCCAAAACTTGTAATATACCCCTAAACTCAGTGATTTTAGAGTTATTCTACTGTGTAATAAAAATCACTGGAAAATATTCCTAGTTATTTCTTGTTGAAAGGTTGGTATTTTACATTATGAACAGAAGCAGCATTTCATACTGTTAAGAAAGAGGGTTTGGAATAGAGAGATGTAGGTTACAAAATGGTGCCTCCTGCTTCCTAGTAGCACAATCTTGGACAATATTTAATTTCTCTGTTTCATTTTTGCCTTCTCTAAAATGATAGCAATAGTAATGCTTGTCCCACAGTTAAATAAGATCACATATGAAGCAATTTGAAATGCCTGGCACCCAGGAAGTATGTAGTGGGTGGGGTATGGTTTCATATGACAATTCCTGTCTTTCTTATGGATGATCTTGAACTTTAACTCTATGGCATGCACTAGTGACTAATGTGTTCTGATTTATTTGTAGGTTAATGAGGGTGGTGGTATCTGTTCTAAGTACTTTTGAATCCTGTACCCTTTTTGGTTATGTTCTCTTATTTTGCTTTTTTGCTCCTCAAGTCTATATTTTTCTTTTATTTCTTGTGTGTAGGTATTAATTGAAAAGGACTGGATTTCGTTTGGCCATAAGTTTAATCACAGGTAAAAGATATTACTAAATATATTGTTTAGTATGTTTACAGTAAAAAGACTTTCTGAAGTTTTCTCTGATGTGTGGGGAAAATAGTCTTGTTTTTTGAAAGATGTCTTACTTTATGTATCTTATCTGAAAAGTTTATATTTTGTTATATATGTTATATGAAACATAAAGTTCTTGAACTCTGATTTCCCTCAGTATTAGCTCGGTAGAACCAGTATTAAATTGTATCAGAAAAGACACTCAGCATTTGTTCATTTGTTGACCTAAAAAAGGTTAACTTTCCTTTCTTCCTTTACACATTTGATTTGCTGAATTATTCCACTTTAGATAGATCCACAGTTAATGAGATGCCTGAGGAATAGTTTTTCTGATCTCATGGAAGCAACCAGAATGAGCTATTGAAATGATGTTCCTGCAACAATAAAGTGTACCCCAAATGTCTATGGAGAGGTAAAATAGGACAGTGGCCCAAGCTTTGGAGCTAGACAGAACCAACTACAAACCCAGGCTGTGATGTTGATCATCTCACCTGGTAGTTTTCTTTTCTCACCTTTGGCCTCCTATCTATGGAATGGAGATGTCCTCTACTCCACAGCATTGTGACAGGAATTTTTAAAGCCTTGTAACTAGGATCTTTCATACCTTGTCCAGATAGTAGGCTCAGTAAACAAAAAGTATTATATAGACAAACATTAACCTATGTTTATCATGGATGATAAAGCCTCCCTTGTATTCTCATGGTTTCTAATCTCTGATTCAGAAGTATTTAGAATTTCAGTAGATATTTTGATATGCATCTTTACGTCAATGTATGTTCCTGAAATAAATTCTAAGTTCATACAATTGCCCATACATACTTTTGTGGTTTTCGTTTTCACTTTTTAGTGCTAGTAGGGATTGAATCCAGGGAGTGCTGACTTTCATCCCAAACCTTTTTATTTTATTTTGAGACAAGGTTTCACCAAGTTGCCCCAGCTGACTTTGGACTTCAGTCCTCCTGCTTTAACCTCCTTTGTAATTAGGATTGCAAGATGTCTCAATGCCTGGATTTTTATGTTTTATATTTAGTATTCATTGACCATTAATTCTATGATTTCCTGGAATTGTGTTTATAATTGTTTTCCCAGAAAAAAATAATAATAATTGCATTTTACCAATGAGAAAGTTAAAATTCCTCAACAATTAAGTAAACTTCTTAAGAGTATATTAAAAAGTTTTGATGTTTTGTTGACTACCTACTAGGCAGTTCAGCTCTTTAGAAGTAGGTGACAGAGGCTCTCTACATGCCGAAAACTAAAGGCTCTCTACATGCTGAACACTAAAACTTGACCCAGGTCTATCACCATGCATAAACTAAAGTCAAAATGGATTAAGGATTAAACATTAAAGCAGAGACACTAAATCTCCTGGAAGAGAAAGTAGGAGGAACTGTTGAAGACATAGGGGGTAGGCAAAGACTTCATGAACAGAAATCATTTCACACAGGAAACAGTTGAAAGATTTAACAACTGGGACCTGCTCTTACTGAGAAGTTTTTACACATAAAAAGAAATTACCAACAAAGTGAAAGGCAATCCACAAATTTTGAAAAAATCATGACAAGTACTCAGACAAAGGTCTGCTCTCTAGAATTTATAAAGAACTAAAAAACACTAGGGTCCCAAAATTTAAAGACCCATTCCAGAAATGGGCATCTGAGATGAACACATGCTTCTATATAGTTAGTCAGGGTGAGAATCTTTCCAATTAACTGCTAGATTCAAAAATCTTCTGGAGATTCTCAGGATCATTCCCTTTCCTATCTTCTACATATAACTGTATCACTTGACATTGTCATGTTTCCTAGCTCTTCTCTCCTTCTCTTGATTAGTTAGTCCTTGAGATCCAGCTTTCCTTTTACTTGTATTATACCTTTCTATTTGTATTTCTTCTTTTGAGTTCTTATACTAGGGAAACTATATGATATTTACACAGGTGTGTCTGGATGAAAGATTTAACAACTGGGACCTGCTCTTACTGAGAAGTAAGAGGATGAAATTAAAGAAATGAATAAATATATGAAAAAATGCTCCACATCACTAGCCATCCACGAAATGCAAATTAAAACAACATTGAGATATCATCTTACCCCAGAAAGAATGTCAATCCTAAAGAAATCACCCAACAACAAATGTTGGAGAGGCTGTGGGGAAAAAGGAACCCTTCTCCACTGCTGGTGGGAATGTAGACTGGTGCAACCATTATGGAAATCAGTGTTGAGACTCCTTAGAAAAGTTGGATTGGAAATCCCATTTAAACCAGCTATTCCTCTACTGGGAATTTTCCCAGAGGATCTGAAAACATCATATCATAGGGATATATGTGTGCCTATGTTTATAGCAGCACAATTTTTGATAGCCAAATCTTGGAAACAACCAAGATGCCCATCACCTGAGGAATGGTTGAAAAAGGTGGTATTTTTACACAATGGAGTATTATTCAGCTATTAAGAATGATAAACTCGAAGCCTTTATATTGAAGTGGATGCCACTTGAAGATATACTCACAAGGAAAATAAACCAGACACACATGTGTAAATATCATGTAGTTTCCCTAGTATAAGAACTCAAAAGAAGAAATACAAACAGAAAGGTATAATACAAGTAAAAGGAAAGCTGGATCTCAAGGACTAACTAATCAAGAGAAGGAGAGGAGAAGAGCGAGGAAACATGACAATGTCAAGTGATACAGTTATATGTAGAAGATGAGCAAGGCAATGATCCTGAGAATCTCCAGAAGATTTTTGAATCTAGCAATTAATTGGAAAGATTCTCACCCTGACTAACTATATATACTGATACCTGTGAACTAAGCAACTGCACTGAAGATGGTAATCTGTAATAGTAGTTTCATGCTTGGAGTGCCTGTCATTCTGGTCTTCTGAATATGGGCTGCTTGTCATGACATGCCAGTTGCTGCTATGCTGTATCTCGGGTAGATGGTTGTTCAAAAAGAAGGGGGTGGTGAATGAAAGCAAGAGACAGGAAAAGGAATATTGTGGGACTGTCCTCCTTCAAGGTTGTATATGGTGAGATTTTTGGACTTATGTGTAAACATAAGAAGTATATAATTCTTTATGCCTATTTTTAAAATATATTCTAATTTTTAAATGTTTTTTTATCATATTCTGTAGGGACTTAAAGTTCAACATATCAATACTTGATGAAAAACACCTGTTCCATGTTATGCCTAAGATGTTTGATACTCAGAGAGATAGTGAGGTTAAGCTTAACAGCCTAGGTTGTATGGTAATAACAATAAGCTTGTCTTCTGAATGGTCTGCAACCTAAGTTTGCAGGCCAAAATTAGAGAAAAAGGAGGGCTGCAAGGAAAGCCAACATTTTGGCTCTAGCCGTCCAAGGTCAATTAAGACTCAGGACATACGAGAACTTGTACTGTAATTTCATGTAACTCGGCAGTGTCCCAAATTTTCTGATCAAGGAGATTATGGGGCCAAAGAGGAAAGTGATAGATGATGTAGAGTGTGCCTAAGGAGAGTCACATGGACAGAAAACATTCTCTCAGGCTTTCACAGAAAGCACACTGGCTAAGCAATAGCTGTGATTCATCCACATGGCTGACATTGACAAAGGTTCTACAATCTGAGGTACACTCTCTCAGGATAAATCCTGAGGGGATTTCACTGACCTTATCAGACCCAAAAGCTACAACTTTTGTTGCATAGGTCCTGCTTTCCCTTGGTCTTAACCATCCAGCAGAAAACTATAAAAATGAAATATAAGAAGTATAACCATGCAGTTATGTTGAGCTGTAGGGGACTCAGGTCAACAATTTCTGACATTGTCAGTCAAGTGGAAGACCCAGTACTATTATTGGCTACTGGACTCTTTTAGAATATTTTGCTGTTTACACACCTATAATATTCAAATAATGGAACTTAACAAAAAAAGGGGATACAGATGAATGTCTGTTTTGTATCTGTGTATTCGAAGTGGTTAGGATAGATATATAGTTACATTTTCTTAATGAATAGAGGGATTTGTTCTAATGGTGTTTGTAAATAGGATATCATACCCGCATCTTGTACAACTATTAACCACTAGGAAGAATATATGTAATGTGTTAATTATTGAAACTGTGCTACCAATTTGAAAAAAAAAAAAAAAAGAAGTAGGTAACAGAATGTGGAAATGGCTGAAGGCCAACTGGATAATTATCTGACATGAGGAAAGAATATATTAGGCAACTCTTTAAAAATTTACCATAGATGAGTGGAACTGAAACTTTTGAAAGGTTTCAAACAATTTGTAATGTTTCTACATTTGAGCTTTTTTTTTTTTTTTTGTGCAGGGTCTCACTATGTGGCTCTGATTCATAGTGATCCTCTTGAATTCTGCCTCTCTAGTGCTGGCATTACAGGCATGCACCACCACGCCCAGACTCCATCACCAGCTCAGCATGCCTGGCAGTGGGGCTGGCATGGCATGCAGTGCCAGGCATTGAACCCTGGTCCCTGTGCTTACCTAAACAAGGGCTTAGTCCGCTGTGTAATATTTCTACTGTTGGGAAAACTTTTAAAGTAATATTTCTCAATTCTGTTCTCTGAGTTGATTATCCATTGCTGAGCTTAGGTTGTATATGGTTTTGATGGCATCCATAGGATCTTTTCAGATGTTTTCTAAAAATTGCAGAATAAAGGGCCATAAGTCTTTACTGAAAATTAACATAACTGCAGCAAGGAAGACTCCGGTGTATTTCCTTGGAAGGTTTCTTGAATTTTATCTCTCATGTTAACACTTATTTTTGGAAATACAACAGGAACTTGTTCTCTTCACTATCTAGGCTGTAAACACATTTCTATCAAAATTGGAATTTTAGAAATTAGTTTTCTTCATCCTCACTTTGAGCTTACAGATTTAATTAGGAACTAAGGTTGCTTTTATGATAACTATTTTTTTTATAGTTTTCTCTTTTAAAGAACTTACCCTATAAAGTCTCTGATGCTTTGTTTTGTAGATATGGCAATCTAGATGGTGACCCCAAAGAAATCTCACCAGTAATTGACCAGTTCATTGAATGTGTCTGGCAGCTAATGGAACAATTTCCCTGTGCCTTTGAGTTCAATGAGAGGTTTCTGATTCATATTCAGCATCACATTTATTCCTGCCAGTTTGGAAACTTTCTGTGTAACAGCCAGAAGGAGAGAGTAGAACTCAAGTATGTATTTTCATGTTTAGTTTTTATCTAAATATTTTGGCAATTGAGAATTTGTTAGCCTTTCATGATTCTGAAGATTTCATTTAGATATATTGACAAGTTAAAGATCATTTCTTGCTCTTAAACATCATTTCATAAGTGATTTTAATGTCATTAACTGAAAAATATGTTCAGATTTATTTTTCCCCAGTTCTAACTGATGCACAGAGACAACTTGGAAGACTTTACACATGAGTGTTTAAGGAAAACTTTCTGGGATTCAAGTAATTCTTTATTTGAAAGACAAGTGTTAGAAATTTTTGGGTGTATATAATAAAACTGGCAAATATAACTAGGAAAGTGATTTTTTTTTTTTTTTTGTGGAACCGGGGATTGAACTCAGACCCTTGCACTTGCCAAGGAAGCACTTACTCTACTGAGCCATCTCCCCAGCACCTAGGAAAGCAAGTTTTGATTCTCAGAACGCTGGTAATTTATATTAAAACTGCATTATATTATACAAGGGCAAAGTTAGAAAAATATTGACTTTCAAGTCATTATAAGGTAAATTTAACAAGGTGATTTAGGAAGGTTAAATGAGAGAACATTGAGATTTTCAGAAAACGATTTTAATTACAGTATATACAGTATCAGATATAGTTTTAAAAGTAGTTTGTTCAAATAAAACAGACTCCAGTAGTTTTATGCCATCTGACTTGAGTAAAAAGAAAGACTTTTCTAGTGGATATAGATGTAAATGATTTAAAAGAAACAGCATACATTACCTCGCCTATTGTCCTAGACAATTTGTGATTTAGTGCCCTTGACTAACCAATTCCAACAGAACCTGCTTGGGTGTGAGTTCTGGTTTTTCCACTCAGTAGCTGTGAGTTTTTCCACCTTCATCTCCCTATAGCTCCATGCAATTTCAAGTACAAGTATGTAAACCTTTAGGAATTTTCTAACCATGGTGTGAACTTGGTTTGTAGCACTGTTTAATATTTAGAGGCCAATGTATGAAAAGTATAAAATGTGTATTTTAAATTAAATATGCCCATTGTTTAGTTTCCTCATGCAGAAAATGCACATACCTCCTAGGAATTCAGTGAAGATTCCATGGACTATACAAAGCATTTAGAATAGTACCTAGCAAATAATAAAATATTTAGTGGCTATTTTAAGAAAAGAAATTATAGAGCAGTATTTTAATGTTCAGAAGAATTAAATATTTTTCAAAGCTAATACAAAGAGTAAAATAAATAAATAAATAAATAAATAAAGTGGGGCCAGGGAGGTGGCTCAGTGGAATAAGTGCTTCCCTGGCAAGCACAAGGGTCTGAGTTCAATCCCCGGTTCTGCAAAAAAAAAAAAAAAAAAAAAAACAAAGAGTAGATGAGTCTATAGTATTACAGTGTTTGCCTTCTGCTGCACCAAGAAACAACTCAGATAAATCTGCTGTAAGCAAAGATACTTGATACTCATATAACTGTTAGTGTATTTCCAGTTTAAAAATTATGTATCTGCAATATGTAAGAACCAAATTAGTCATCTTCAGATGAGCATACTTTCTTTGTAACAGAATTCAAGAAAGAACATATTCATTATGGGCTCACCTGTGGAAGAATCGAGCCGACTACCTGAACCCTCTGTTTAGAGTTGATCACAGTCAGACCCAGGGAAGCCTTCATCTCCCTACAACTCCATGCAATTTCATGTACAAGTATGTAAACCTTTAGGAATTTTCTAGCCATGGTGTGAACTTGGTTTCTAGCACTGTTTAATATTTAGAGGCCAATGTATGAAAAGTATAAAATGTGTATTTTAAAACTTTCCTCTTTTATTTTATGGAAAAAGGTAAAACAAAATTTCATAGACTAATAAGTGAATAATGATGGTACATATATTGGACATTATTACCTTTAAAGTAGTTATTCAGAGTACAAGATATGGCCATTAAAGTTTCTCCAATTGATATTAACACAAACCTTCCTTTTCAGTGAACAGAGAGACACTTACAACTGACTTGCATTTTTTCCCTTTTCCCTCTGTCCTTTCCCTTTCCCCCATCCTACTTCCTTTTTCCTTTTGAACAATTTCTTAGTGTTTTACAATATCTGTTGTATATTTTAGAACTTATTTACTCTGTTTTCCACACCAGGGAGACAATAGAATGTTTACAAATGTAAGTCTGATGTTTTCCACTTACGAGTATGTTCTCACGTTGCATCCATTTATCTACGAAAGTTTGAAATCAGTATTGAGATTCCTCAAAAACCTAAGGCTAGAGCTCCATTCAACCCAGCTATTCCCCATCTGGGTAACTTCCAGAAGAATTAAAAGCATCATACCACAGCGATGTTTGTGCACCCATGTTTATAGAAGTACAATTTGTAATAGCTAAATTTTGGAAATAAACAAAAAACTCACCAACCTTTTTCTTTTTTTTTTTTTTGCAAACATTTACTTTAAAGAGAATATAGAAATAATTGATACAACAGATTGTCCTGCTACAATGTTTTTATGGTTTGATTCCTGAATTTCTGTGTAAAAATTTGTTATTTTTTTCACATTCTATAGGGATTTAATTTTTATAATATCCATGGTTGTTCAAAAATAGCAGTTCCATATTATGTCTAAGGCATTTGATATTCAGACAGATAGTGATGTTAAGCTCAACTGTCTCTGTTACAGGTTAATAATAGCATTAAGTTTCTCTTCTGAATGTTTAACAACTAAAGTTTGCAGACCAAAAATTAGAGAAATAGAGGGCCTACAAAGATAGCCAATATTTTGGCCCTAGCCCTTCAAGGTCAGTGAGGACTCAGAACATAAGAGAACGTGTGCTGTGACATCCAGTAACTAAGTGGTATCCCAAATTTTCTGATCAAGGAGATTATGGGACCACAGAGGAAAGTGATTGATGATGTATAGTGTGCCTAAGGAGAGTAACTTAGAGAGAAAAAATTCTCTCAGCCTTTCACAGAGAGCAAATTGGTCAGAGAATGGCCATGACTCATTCAGATGGCTGACATTGACAAAAGATCTACAAGGTGCTGTACATGGTTTCAGGGTAAATTCTGAGAGGATTTGACTGACCTTGTCAGATAGAAAAAGTTACATTTTTAGTTATATAGGTCTTGCTTTAACTTGGTCTTAACCATCCAGCAGAAAAGTATAACTGCGAGATATAAAAGTAATGCCGTATTAATATGCTGAACTGTAAAAGGCTAAAGTCAACAACTTACGCTGATAATCCACTACTATTATGGACTATTGGTCTATGTTAGGTTATTTTGCTGAACTCAAGTACCTACAATCTTTAGACTTTCTTCAAGTATGTAAAGTTTCCTCAAAGACTTGTCCAAACAGCTTCTCTAACGGCAGTGGAGCACCCATCTCTGACAAAACAAAACAAAAAGGAGGATATAAATACAGGACCATTTTGTAGTGAAAAAAAAAAAAATATATATATATATATATACTTTCTCTTAGTTCAATGAGAAGAAAGGTTTGTACTAATACTGTTTAGACAAGATATCATGTCTACATCTTGTCCTCTGAATAACTATTATGAAGACAACAGTATGCAATGTATTATTTATTGTAACTGTCATACAACCTGTTTTATAACTGTTTCATTGCTATTTTATCTTTTTTTCCCACTAAAATGAATACAAAATAAAAAGTAAAAAACGAAAATAAAATTAAAAAATACTCATCAACCAAAGAATTCATTTTTAAAAATGTGGTATTTTTATACAATGAAGTACTACTCAGCCATAAAGAAGCATTTTAAAATTTTTCTACACACAAAACCCACTGGAAGATGGTCTTTGAATATCTGAGTGTTGTTTTTGGCAGTGTTTCTTAATCTCCATCCTCCTAAATGTGGCATTTCTTTTGAAGTTGATATTTTATAATGATGGTATCCAAAAAATGCATCTTTTAATTTTTTAAAGTGAAAGAAAAAACCAAGTTCCTTTTAAGTCAAATCAGAATCACAGGTTTTAATAACAATCATCATATAGCTTGTTTTTCTAAGTCTGTGTAGTCAAGTCTTGGTAGAAATAAATTGTTTTAAAATTATACGATTGGGACAGGACAAACAAGGTGGCCTTCTACAGGCTCTACTAGGTCTTGCTAGATTTGTGTAGTACTACTCTTTTGCGTCTTCTGTAGTTTTGTATGATATAAAAAATGACTCATTGGAAAATAGACAAGCACACACAGAACCAATTACGAAGCCACATTCCTCCTGCTCTTTCCAACACCTGGTGAGTTTTTTCTCTATAGATTTTATTCCTCTTAAGGATTTGTTCTTACTTATTCCAGTATCAGTATTTTCCCAGATTCTTTTTTTTACAGTAGAATATTAATTTTGTATTACTAAAAGCAAAATGCCTCCTTTATGGCTCATGTAAAATATTTTTCTTTGCTTTTTAAAAAAAAATTATGCATTTGGTACAAGGTCTCACTGTGCAGCTCAGACTCGTAGTGATTCTCCTGTTTCAGCCTCCTCAGTGCTGGGATTACAGGCGTGTACCACGATGGCTGGTTTCTGTGGCTGGCTGGGTGGGCCCAGGTTGGGATAGGCGAGATATGAGGTACCAGGGATCAAACCTGGCTCCTTGTGTTTGCCAGGCAAGCACTTAGAGCACTCAGTTATCTCCCTGGCCCACATTTTCGTTTTTTAAGGTACTGTCTTCCTGGTCTTGAGCTCATGACAGTCTTCCTTCCTCAGGCTCCAAACTGCTGAGATTACAGGTTTTGTGCTATGAAACCTGGCTAAAGCATTTTTAAGAGCTGTTGAAATATTCTGTGCTAGGGCCTGGGGAGATAGCTCAGTAGAATAAGCACCAGCCTGGCAAGCGCAGGGTCCTGAGATCAATCCCCAATACTACAAAAAAGAAAAAAAGAAAAAAGAAAAGAAAAGAAAAAAGAAAATACTCTGCCCTCAAAATGCTTATCTGTTCTCATTAAGAAAAACAAACAACTAATAAAAATCAAAACACCTATGATACCCCATGGTAACATAATTTATTCTTACTAGCATTCTAATACAATAAAATTGTTCATGATAAAAGGTGATGATTTATTGCAAATGTAAATGTCAGATTCTGATTGCTGTGGTTAAAATCTAAAAACTTGAAATTTAAAATCCTGGAATAATTGAAACATATAATCACTGGATTTTGAAATTCAAACTAAGCCATATGAGCGAGAGAGAGGGCAGTAGTACATGTGCTGCTTAAGTCTACTGTAGAAAAATATGTACCTTCTAATTCAGTATTATATATACAAACAGACCCCTCATAAACTTATTTTCTCTTAAAAAACTACTGAACCAAGAAAAAGAAAATATCAACATATTTAGCTTATAGCTTGCATTGGTTATTTTGAAGACTGGGGAAGTGTTATTAAGTATCCACAGTTTGAAAGGGTGAACTTTCAGATTGGGATATGCCACCACATCCCAATGGTATCATAAAGTTCTGCCTTCCTTCTCAGGTTTTGGAGTGGGATGTATAACCGCTTTGAAAAGGGGCTGCAGCCCCGACAGTCCGTTACGGATTACCTTATGGCAGTGAAGGAGGAATCCCAGCAGCTGGAGGAAGAGCTGGAGGCTCTAGAAGAAGTAAGACCCACTTGATATCATTAACTGTTTTCTCTGCTTAGTTCTTGAAAAATGTTGTGTCAAATGCCTCTCAAGACTCAGTACAGAAAATGTGACAATAGCCATTTCTTCTCTTGAGCCAGGGAGTAACATAATGCATTCTTGCCAACCTGAAAAGCTAGATAACTGAAGCCCAAACCTAGGCATTTAGTGCATTGTAGACAGCTGGCTTGGGGTTACTTTCAGTTTACTGAATGACTTGACTACTGGCCAGTATGTTTGTTATTATTCATGAATATTAAAATGAATTGTTTCTGGAGGAAAAAAAGTATGTAGGGGAGTATAAGGGTAAGACTAGGTCATGTGCCTATGATGAAGATCTGTTCCTCCATTTTTAAGAGCTCTGATAATAGTTGAGACTGGCTACAGTCTCTTTTGGCCCTGAACTTGGCCAGGAAGTTTATAATGTATGTGAACACTTTTTCTCCGTGGATCATTTGTTTCCAGTGATGCCACTGTAGTTCAGTTGGTCAACCAAACCTGTTGATTTTTTACTTCAATTTCTTCACTTGGCATCTTAAATCCCAATATAATGACATTTACTTGCTTAAGAACTGGCGTAAATTCCTAGAGTTTAGGACCCGAATTCTCAACTGAGGCTCAATATTTTAAATACTGAGAAAAATTCTTAAGATCACATAGTGTAAAAAAAAATATTAGGGTTAAGGCTGGGAAACTGTGAAGAGTTAAGATCCATTGTTATACCTTGTAAAGCAATAATGTGACTGGAGCAAGCTCCCTCCCAATTTATGAATGTCTAAATGAAGGTTGCCAAAATATCACAAGTTGAATCTGAAGTCTTCTCCTTTGCCCACTAAGTACTTCCCTGCAGGTTAACACTGAGAATGATGGGCAGGGGAAATAAAAAATAATATGATTGTTAATAATAGAAGTGGCCATTTCAAGGTAGCTAAGTAGGCTGATTTCTGCTTCTCTCAGAATACGCTAGAAGACATCACTTTTCAAGATATAAGTATTGTGAAAGATCTTAAGTCTAAGGCTGGTTGCAAACTAAGTGCATGACAGATACAGACAGGTGAAGCAGGTTCAAAAGTATAATAAATTATACTAAAATATATAAATCTGCAAAGTCAAGTAATTGTTACCAGGAGCAATAAGAAGGTAGAAATAAGAATGACTGCTAGTTTTTTTTTTCTTCTTGATGATGAAAAAGATTTAAATTAAAGGTCAGAAAGTCTAGGTTTTAACCCATATTTAAGTCCATGTTCTTAACATCATACTATGTGGCAGATAATATATAACAAAGCAGATAGATAGATAGATAGATAGATAGATAGATAGATAGATAATTATGATTTATTTCCTGAAATCATTTTGTTTTCAGAGACTGGAAAAAATTCAGAAAGTACAATTAAATTGCACTAAAGCAAAGAGTAAGCAGAGTGAGCCCAGCAGACACTCAGGGTTTTCCACCTCAGATAACAGCACAGCGAACACTCCCCAGGATTACAGCGGGAACTTCAAGTCATTTCCTTCCAGGAGCCCTTCACAGGGTGATGAGGATTCTGCCCTGATTCTAACCCAAGACAATTTGAAAAGCTCAGACCCAGATCTGTCAGTGAACAGTGATCAAGAATCTGGCGTGGAGGATTTGAGCTGTCGGTCTCCAAGTGGGGGTGAGCATGCACCAAGTGAAGACAGTGGCAAGGACAGGGACTCTGATGAAGCTGTGTTTCTCACTGCCTGAAGTTTTCCTCTGGAGTTCCAGAGCAAAGGACCACAAGAAACACTTCCAAAAATAAGGGAACAGTGCAATTCAAAATAGTTTAAGAAATGGGACATGTCATCCTGGATTATAAAATGTAGCTATGAAAGTGGAAAAAGAAAGACTCTTAGTTTCTTTAGATGTTGAATAACTAGAAGTCACCAATTCTTTTATCAAGTATAAAGAAAATTATATATCATTTGGAAACTTCCTTGTGACCATGAAATTCATATTCCTACAGAGTGATTCCTTGAGGTTAATATAAATCTTCTCTGTCAGAGCATGTATCTACTCAAAAAGCACTCTGATCCCTTTCCCTATGTGTATTATTATCTTGAGCCTTTCCTCTTGTTTTACCTCCAAAGCATAGTTTGTGTTTTTAAAATATTTGATATCACTTTCTCTTCTCTTATTACCAATATTTCTAAAAATGGGGTATATTGTTGAGATGCACTCTTTCTGATTAGTAGATGTATTCCTAAGGAGCTTTGACATTGTTAAAGTTTATTTTTCATGTAAAATAATTACTTTAACTTTTCTTTAAACAATATATTTTGAATTGTTATAATTTTATTGTTTTTGTCTGAAATCTCTTCTGTTTGCCCTGTTATTTAAAAAATAATGTAACTTATAGCTCATTTTTTCTCTAACATTGATCTAATACCTAATAAAATATAAGCAACTTATGAAGTCTCTGAATATTACATACAAATTTAAATCATATTAGCTTTCTTTCCTTCCTTTTTCTTTGGACACAGAGTCTTGTTATGTAGTTCAGGAGGCTAAACTTGAATTTACTATGTCTCCCAAGCTGTCCTCTTACTCAGCAATCCTCCTGCCTCAATCTCCCAAGTACTAGGGTTGCAGGATGTTAGCTTTCTTGATAAACTTTTATTACTATTCCAGAGAGCCCCTTCCAGCATCCTCTGGGTCTTATGTGGGGTTTTTACTGCCACAAGTAAGGCACAAGAGGAAAAAGGAAAAGAGAATGAAGAGGGTGGGGAGGCAGGAGGAGAAAGGCAAGACAACTCCCTGTCATGAACAATTGCTTTCTCCTTCCCAGGCCTTCTAACACAAAGCCAAAGGGCAGCTAGGGCATCAAGGGAGTTAAAGCCATGCAATAGAACTGTCAGCTGCAGCTTCTAAGACAATCATGACATCACCTTATTTTTTGGCTTTTTATGTTTTTCATAAAGTTTACAGAAGTTACCTTAAAGAGATGATCCTTCCATAAAAATACATACTCAATGCATATACTTCTAGATATCAGAGAACAAAATGTCTTTCAGAAATTTGCTCTCTCAAGAGTCTGAGTTTAATCCCCGGTGCCATCAAAAAAAAAAAAAAAAAAAAAGCTAGGACTGGGGATTTGGCTTAGTAGAATAAGCACTTCCCTGGCAATTGCAAGAGCCTGAGTTCAATCCCCGGTTCTGCCAAAAAAAAAAAAAAAAGAAAGAAAGAAAAGAAATTACTTTGCTCTCAGCCAACTCTCCAAGGTATTTTTCATGCTATCTTGTATCTCACCAAAGATGGGGCAGGAGGTGCCTTCAGACCTGGCCTTCGGTTATAGAAGTACCAACAACAGAATATGTACTTTCTTCCATGAAACTTTGCTTAGCTAAAAGTATTCCAGGGCCGGGGAGATGGCCCAGTGGAATAAGTGTTTCCCTGGCAAGTGCAAGGGCCTGAGTTCAATCCCCAGTTCCGCCAAAAAAAAGGAAAGAAATAAAAGTATTCCTGAATTCTGGCATCTCCCTAACATACCATCTTCCTGCTGGGCGGGCATATCTCTTTGATAGCAGAGCCTGCCTACTCCAAGGAAGTTTTCTTGTTCTGGTCTCTTTGGGTAGGTGAATTAGCCACAAGAAAAGGACCTGGGCTTTGGGGTTGAGGGCATCGGTCCCCAAGGAGTTGAGCAGTTGAACCCTGCAACAATTGCATTTCAGGTGCTGCAGGTTTTTTTTTTTTTTTTTTTTTTTTTTTTTTTTTTTCTTGATGACATGAGCGAGATATCAAAGTATGCCTATTGATGATGTCTGGACATTATCTGCTTCTTTTTAAACAAAGTCAGAGATAGGAAGAAGCTGGGAGACACTTTTTATGGTTGGGACAGCTGAGGGGCTTACTTTTATCTTCCTGACATCATCTCTAAGCGACATCACTAAGCAAGAGGCCTTATTTTTTCTCTTTTCACCAAGACAGTTTTGTGGTATAAGGAACAATGTCACTGGGTCAGTGATGAGAGCATGGCAGGTCATGCCCCTGGAACAGTCACACCCACTTTTCTTTGGTCTCTTGGCTCCCACCACCCTAAGTCCAGAATTCCCTAAGTATGACTCCACTTTGAGAATAATCAGATGGATTTGGAGAGGATAGGGAGATGGGCGCACAGCTATCTAAGGATTAGTTTTGCCCCTGGTCTACACATATACACTAAGAATGGCAAGATGGGTTTGAAATGAAACAATGATTACATATGGCATGAAAATCATTACAGTGCTAAACCAGGTGGCCCTCTGAGGGGCAGAAGGTAGACTTGTCTTTCTCCTGTGAATGGATGGCTCCCTTTATTTAATAGAGACAAATCTTTTTTGAAAAGCTTTAGTTTTTATTCATTATTTCAATACGATGAAGGCTCTGCTGGTGGTAATACTGTAAAATTCAACAGACTGAAGAAACTGCAGGAAAAAATAGTGTTTTATTTTAGGGGTACACCAGCTCAGCAAAATTATATCCAAAGGGCTGATCCCTGAACAAAGGAAGGGCTCCAGTTTCATACATGTTGTCCAGGGGTTGGTCTCTTTAACAGCAGGAAACGTGTGGGTGGGCAAGCAAGTTTGCAGAAGGAAAACAAAGATAGTTTGTCAACTTCGCATACCTTGGTGGCCCTGCTCAGGGATAATGGGATATATGGGAATAGGAGGTTATAAAACTACTTATAGGGACAACAGTTACTGCTTTTATCTGTATTGGAACAAAGAACAGCAGCAGTAGGGAGTGGGGAGTCTGAAGATGAATTTGCTTAGGTTGGGGACTTCTTTTAAGTCCTGCTTCAGTAAAATTCAGGTGGGATGTTGTTTAACCAAGAAAGGAAAAGGAAAGTCGAAGGGCCAGTCCATTGGTTAGTGGACAGCATAGCCATGGCTCCAGGTATCTATGACTCTGAGACATTTTAACCCCATCAGGCAGTTATTTCTTTGGAGGATCCAAAGTTGGAGATCAGAGCTAAGGAATATGCTGGGGCCCTTACACCCCAGCCTTCCTCTCCCTACCCCACAGCCCTACCCAATGGCTCAGGTCCCAGTGCCTTTCCAATTCAACCTGTTCTCCAGAGGGGATTTTCTAAAGGGTTATAGACTTACTGTAAGTAATTAGGAAATGATAACTTCTCATCAAAAAATAAAATATTGAATATTATCACCTCTTTTTGCTTTGCTTTTTTCAATAACATCAGCAAGCCACAAAGAAAAATAAAGATCAAGATAATTTTTGTTAAAAAAAAAAGCCACACAGGGTTTAGGGGAACAAGAAAATAATTGCTTAGCTGACTTCAAACCTTAAGGTAGTTTACTTCACACAGAGTGTTCTGACCCCGCTCACAGGTCATGGTTGCCTTGTTATCCCTGTCATTGTTGCAGTGTCAGCAGGAGGTGTCCACAAGCAAGGACTTTCTCATGTGTAGAGAGGCCATTCCCAGCACACCTGCTAATGTGATCCAGGGCAGCTAAAGTGCATTACCTGGGTAACATACATTGGCCATCAAACAGTGCTAGCATTACTTACCTCATGGCTCCTATTCTCTACAAGGTCTGAACTTCCAACAGACTCTTACTTAGCCTTTAGGTATTATGCTAGTTGGATTCCAAATTCTGCTAAAACAGACATATCAACAACAGATAGTTCATGGAGTCAGAATCAGTTAAGACTTCTATGGGAAGCAAATTTGTATTTGATGGAATTTTTCCAAAAGATGGGCTTTGGCTTGATCAGGAACTCAAACTTGGGTTCTAAGTCCCAACACCACCAAAGAAAGAGTGCTGTGGTGGGAGAACATCTGCCACACTTGCCTTTGGGAACCAGTCCCTGTACGAGCACATGGGGGTCTGGTGAGTGTGCCTTGAGCAATCCAAGCCCATGAAACTGACTCTTACAGGGAATTCATGGCCCCTCACTGGTGCTCCAATTATTAAATAGAAATTAAAAATATAAAATCCACATGAGAATGATGAGAATCAGAGATAGAGGTGACAGTGGCTCACCAGGGTGGTGAACCCTTACCCTGTTGGGCATTCAGAGCCACCTGTGTGCACCACCACAGAGGACTGGCCCTGTTGTCCACCTCTGATCTCTTGGCACCAACACCTCAGCTTTTGTCAGGTGCTGCACCTCTCACCATTTTGCTACTTTTTCTGACAACTGGCTAGTGGTGGAACTGGCACCTGCAGTGGGTCTCCTGCTCTCCTTGCTCTGGGGATCATAGTTCTCTGCGTCTGCCATAGATTCTTCCCTTCACCTTGACCTGGGCCTCTGGGGTCCAGTGATGATACCTCTTGAACCTTGGAGGCCAGTGTATCTCATGAAGCAGTGCTCTGTGAAGATGCTGGGGATGTGACACCTGCCTGCTGTACTACCTCTTCTGCACAAGGATGGCTAGGGCTATAAAGAAACCTAGGGAGAAGACTCTGGGTCTTTCTGGGAGGTGTGGGTCAGGGATGAGGCTGGGAGGAGCCCTGACAGGCAGAGGCCAGAGTCTGGTGTAACTGCAGCTGAGTAGAGAGGCACAGAGCAGGCCAGCTCCTGTTGGCAGGGCCTAGGCCCTGGCGTGTTTTGCCAGCTGAGAGCAGGCTGGGCTCCCCCAGAGGGATTGGGCCTGTGATGTGAGAATGACATACTTTGGCCAACTCCACAGTTTCAACGACTCTATGCAACATATTTAGCTTTCTTTTAGGCCAAATGGTAATAATGAGCTCAGATGTAGCTAATCAATAACCACCAAAAATACTCTGCTTCTGTATTTCTTGCTTGCAGACTATTATAAACCTTAGAGTATCAGAGATCAGGGCCTGATTCTTTGGGATTGAATTCCAGTCAGAGCCCAGTGATGTAAATAAATCTGCCTCCAAATTCTGGGTGATGTTTCAGCATTTCTGTTTCTTGCTGCAGTACTACTGGAACTGTTTGGATCTTAATTTTCAATTCCTGTTCTGAAATTTATGGCCATGTATTATATTTTGAGTTTCCATTATTTTTTATTTTTATTTTGTTTTTGCGGAACAAGGGATTGCACTCAGGCCCTTGCACTTGCCAGGGAAGCGCTTACTCTACTGAGCCATCTCCCCGGCTCTGAGTCTCCATTATTGACATAGAGACCCTATGCAACCAGAATCTGGAGAACTGTGTCCTTCAGCTTGGAGAAGCTCTCTTTGACCCTTTCCTTCCCACTATTTTATCTGTCCTTTCCTTTGGGAGTTTTAATTATATTGCCTTTGTAAATCCTGCAGTGATCTGGTTTACTTACTTTCCTTTTTTATTCCCTAAAAAGATGTC